GGGAAGAGAGTAGTGGGTAGGGAGGTGGCAAGGAAGGGGTGTAGAGATGAAGAGAGAAGGAGAGACAAAAAATCCCCTCGCCTCCCCAGGAGACCGCCCTGGATCCGCCCAAGTTGCGGTTACCACCGGTCGAGTATTACTTTTCTTAAGCATGAAAGCTTAGTTATCTCGTTGGAAATCTAAGACATTACACGTTTCCAAATTCATCTGTCTACTACAATTCTCAAGAGAGATTTCCGGATTCTTATTCTTAATAGAAAATGCACCAAGCCGATTGTTCCACTAAATCTTAATTAATCAATCCGAGATAGCTTTGCTGAAAATTCATTCTTTTGAATACATATGTTTGAAAAGTAGATATGTACCACAATCTCAAGCTGGACGGTGCTGCTCCGTGAACTTTAGATTCCATAAAGCTTCGAAACCTGCTACTAAACCCGAATTGTCTATTTTCCAAATTTGTGAAATTTGTGTGAAAATGAAAAGCAAACCAACCTATAGTAGCCATAGTTGTTGCTGCAAAAAATATTGCACTACTCGTAGTCCAGAGCTTTTCACTTCGTACTGATCGCGACCGGATCTTTGATTTCCTACAAAAAAATTTTTTCCTCATTTAGCTAATAAGCAAGTGACGGCTTGCATTATCGAGTCAGCTAGAGGCAAGCTCCCCACAAATCAACGTTTTTATTTAAATCTAGCTAAATTTTAAAATTAGGCCAGTCACCATATATTTAAAAATTCGATTTGGAATCAGTTTTCATGTTTATTAGGGTTAGAACAACTGGGATAATAATAAATAAATAGTATACCTATGTCTCTTCGTCCTCCCACTGCTGCGGTATCTGTCAAGATTCGTTTTTGAAACACGGACATCTGCATACCTAAAATGAAAGGAAAAATGATATTCTTCCTGAATGCACTTTTAGGCGCCTCGAAGACTCCGTTTGACGTGAAATTAGACTACAGTGGTGAGAGGATAGCAATAACCGAATCTATGGAAAGAACTTCCTGTCACCTGATGCACATACAAAATAAATTAAGAATAAAAACACACAAATTAAATTAAGAATAAATAAACATTTGACACCCCACGAAAATTCCGGACCAAACAATTCACCGGT